AAAAAAACAGAAAAAAAAGAAAAAAGTTATTGCCAAATTTTCGGCATGTTTGCTTTTGAAATTTAAATTTCACAGGCTTGTTGCTATTGTTGTTGTCGGTTTTTATGGCTTGTATCATAAAAATCTCAATGTGTGACTGTGCGAGTGTGTGAGCTGAGTATATGTATATATATGTGTGTATGTGTGTTGTGTGTGTTGTGTAAGTGAGCGCGTCAAAATACATTAAACTGCATAAGCAAAGCGCGCAGCAGGCGTGAGTATGACTGTGTGTCTGTATGTGTGTGTGTGTGTGTACACATATACGCCCCCTTTATGCGCTGGTATTTGTGCTCATCCAACTAGCTCACTCTCATAATGCCAACTAAATTGAGTTACTCTGCTCAATTCGGCCTGTGACAACTCCAGCCAAGCCCAGCCCCAATGTGACACATGCAGACTAATGAATTTTAAAATCAACGCTCGCCACAGGTGCCCCCAGCCAGAACCAGCAGCAGCCACAGCCACAGCAGCAACAGCAGCAGCAAGAGTAGCAGCATCATCTCAAGCCGACAGACTGTCTGGCTGTCTGTCAAAATGGCAGACAAAAGAGCGCGATTTGAATGCGCGTTTTGAGTGCATGAATGAATTACAGCAGCCGGATCAGATCAGGCTGGATCGCAGATGCTGATGCTGCTGCTGCTGCCATGAAATCGAATCAATAAAGTGCGCAACATGAATTAAACATAAATGCAAACTGATGGAGGGGAACAGGTGGGGGCGGTTGCGGGGCGCTGCTGAGGCTATCCCAAAAAAGAGCTGATTGATCACTTGCAGGCAACACCCGCCGCTTGGAGCTGTCTCCAGTCTCCAGTCTTCAGTGAGCGCTCGCGTTCCACATTCCGTGCCACCGGCAAACAAAACAAACAAAACAAACGCGAATCAGAGAGGAAAACAAAAAATTTTAAATTAAAATTTTCGCACACTTGAGGAGCAGGAAATAAATTCAACGGCAGCCGCATCGATGCATGTCACGTCCGTCCGTCCATTCGTCTGTCGGATTTTACGTGGAACTGTCAAAAATGCAGGCAAAAGCTGCGCTCAGCTGAAAGCAACAATAACAATGCGCATGCCTTTGGCAGCAGCAGCAGCAGCAGCAACTGCAACTGCAATGCTAAGTGCCAAGTGAAAATGGATTTTATTCATTCTTTTTTTTTTTTTTCATTTTTGGGAGTCAACTGTCAAAAGTGACAGCAACAACAACAGCAGCAGCAGCAGCAGCAGCCGTGTTGCGGCTGTGGCACCCACTTTTTCAAATTGAAAACTAACTTAGCGGAACCTGAAAGCCAAAAAAAAAAAAACACCAAAATTGCTGCCCTCAAAAACGGGGGCAATTGTTGTTGTTGTAGGCGTGTGAATCAAGAAATTGTTGTCGTCTGCTGCTGCTGCGCTGCTGCTGCTGCCATAACACTAATGAGCATAGATAATTTGTTTCTATTTCTTCTTCTGTCTACAAATTGCGCGCAATTAGAAAACATGGAGCTGGGCCAGCTGGGAAAAGTTAAGTGAGCCAAGTCAGGGCTAGGCTGAGACTGAGGCTGAGACTGAGACTGAGGCTGGTTATGGCCCAACAATTGTCAGGCTGTAAGTGAGCTGTTTACAGTTATGGTGGAAACCGTTAAAGCTGACGCCACAAATCGCATTCATTTCATGTTGGTTTGTTGTTGGCCAGCAAACAGTAAGCCAATGCGCGACCAAAGCACAGCTAAGGGATGCAAACAGAACTCAATTGCTGTCGCTGTCGCTGTTGCCCCACCCCGGCCGCACCGCTGGCAGCCAACAGGAAACGACATACAAAAAAAAAAAAAAAAAAAAGCAGTAAAGAGAAGGCGCGAAGCAATCGATTTGTGGGCTGAGCCACACATGAAGCCGGCCCCCGACCCAGCCCTGGCCCGGAATCACCCCCCGCACGGCGCGATTCATTAAAAACGCATTAGAAATGACATTAGGACAAATGTAGCCTCGGTGCGCCACTAAAATTACTTAAACAATAAATAAAGCATAAAGCACAAATCGTGTTTCATTTTTTTGTTTTTTTGTTTTTTGTTTTTTTTGTTGGTTGAACTTACTGTGCTGATGATAGCTGGGATAGTAGCGTCGATGGTGTCCATTGCTTTCGAGCGCATAGAAGGCGCTCATGTCGCTCGTATCCAGTCCGAGGCCGGCGCCAGCGCCGCCCGCACCGCCGCCCAGGGCAGCGCCCACACTGCTGCCGGCCGAGGAGGCGCCGCTGGACAGGCTGTGATGGCTGTGGGCCAGGCTGCTGCCGGTGCTGCCCAGGCCGTTTGTATGCGGCGAGCCGCCGCCACCGCCACCACCGCCGCCCCCACCGCCACCGCCGCCGCCGCCTAAGCGCGGACTATCATACCAGCTGCGAGCGGCAGCCTCCGCTGTTGAGGTCATATCCATTTCGAGTATAATTTTGAATGTTTTTTCAATAGATCGTGGGCGCGCAAAATTCTACAGAGAAACTCTATCTCTGTGCTGCTCTCTCTCTCTCTCTCTCTCACTCCTTCACTGCTTCTGTCGTTTGATTAATTTGCCTTTTGAATAAGCTTCGACGCTTTTCAACACATGTTTATGTGCGCGTTTTGCAGCACTGCCTTAGCTGTAAATGATTTGATTTTTAGTTGAAAAGAAGAACTTCTTTGTCTTTTGGGCTGCGATTTGAACGGTAGCGCTTGGGCGCCTTATCAACTTCACACCTCTATATATATCTACACACCTGCCTATTATTGCTTATCAGACGAAAAAAAAAACAACTTTATATATTTGTTTCCAATTTCTCTCTCTATACTACACGTACAGTTGGCACTAGCTCTAGCCCAGTTGATTTACAATTGTGCGGTAGCCTAAGCTATTATAATTATTACCTGTATATATGTGTATGTGTGTGTGTGTGTGTGTGTGTGCTATATGGTACAGCGATTAGAGTTTTCAGTTTTACCATATGCGTAGCCAAAGTGTGGGAAAAGGGGGCTTCGATTGCATGCCATGATGGATGCCTGACAAAGGCTTCTATAGACAGGCACAAATTTTTTGCAGCACTTCTCCCTGGGGTTCTAATAGATATGTCGAAGGCGGCCCAAACCGTTTGCCTTTGCCTTTCAGGCCATTGTCTGGCATTGTTTGCTGTGCGCGCTGTTTACAGTGCAGCCTCTCTAATAGACTCAAAACAATGTCAAATCATGTCGATTGTGTTGCCTCGCTATGCTGCGGCTGGTATGCAGCTCAGGCAAAATAGGTGCCTGGAAATGTTTATTTGTGTGGAAGAAATCAATTTGGCCATAAGCTAATCTAGATATTTAACTGATGATATAGAGATAGTATATGCAATTTAGTATAAATATTTTATACAATAAATATATATAGTAAGTTTAGTTTATATATTATTAACTTGTATATATCTTGAGATTTCCAAGAGATAACTCAAGTCAAGGCAAATACCAGCTATGCGAGCTATTTAAATAGCATTAACATATTAATCGACTTGCACATAAACATACACAAATACTTATGTATGTATATACTTTCAATATAAAATATCCCATGTCTTTAACGATCTAACTGTTTTGCATTGTGCTATAGCCCATATATATTCATAGCTTTAACTATTTTTATATCTTTCAATTATCATATAAGTATTATTTAAGTATTTTCTCCAGCAGCGATTGTAAATAAAAGTTACCATAAATCTTATAACACCTCGACAGATAAGCGCTGCTATAAATATATATATTGTATATATATAAATATACAAGAAATTCTCTAAATTGATTTGTCATGCATATTCAAAGTTTTTGACACTCAGTAAACAATAGATAAGAGCCATAAAACTCTATCAGACAATTTCAGATATTTTTAGAGTTGTCTGCAAATGCTTTGCTTTTTCTTTTTCTTTTTCCACTGTAACTGTAACAATAGAACCTAGTTTACAGAGCTGCATACCTAGCTCAAGTCTGACTCTGACTCTGACTCTGGCTGCGTCTGTGTGGCGCTACAGCAGTATCCTGCCGGTGCGACAACTTGTTGTGTGGGCGTTTGACGCCGACGGCAACGCGGCCTGCGGGTAAAGGTGTGCTGCGCTGCCTTCACCTGGCCGGGTGCAATTAGTGCTAAACATGCGGTTTATATCCTACGCTCGACTAGGCTCAATTAGACGTTAGTTCTGCATTTTAAGCAGCAGCAGCAGCTATTCTCAATGCTCAGCTATCGCTGCAGCGACGTTTGCTTAGACAGGTAGCAGCAGCAGCAGCAGCAGCAGCAGCAGCAGCAGAAGAAGACGGCAGAATATTGAAAACGGAATGTGTATTATTTTTGAAGAATTCTCTTATCAGACATTCCATGTATGCCCCATAGTATCTATCTGTTGGTTGTATCTCTTGATGTATGTGCATTCAGTTCTTGCCAGATTTTTATCAATAATTTTGTGTGTGTGTTTGGTTTTTTTTTCGACTACTTTTTTCTGTTTGCATTGACTGTTGCTGTTGTTGGTGTGGTTGTTGTTGCTGTTGTTTGTTTTGGTTTCAACCAAAAAATTATTAATAATAAAAAAAGGCAGCAGCAGTCGTTGTTGCTGTTGTTGCTATTGCTGTTGTCTCAAGACCTGTCCAGGTTGCTGTTGTTGGCTCTCAGATGCGTATCGCACGATTGACAATTGCGCTACAAACAACCAGCCAAACGATGATAAGGCAACATAACTTTCGACTATGAACACTGCGCACCGTATGTACATATATACATATATGTATTTATAAATATATATGTATTTATATATTTTTTTTTCGATTTTGATTTCGATTCTTTAAAGTTTGACTAGGCCACGAAACTCAGTCAATTTATCAGAGGCAGTGATAGCTGCACTCATTCGTTGTAGTTGTTGTTGTTGTTGTTGATTTTGGGGAAATACTTTTCATTAAAATGTTGGAATTGATAGCAATAAATTGATAAGCAAACTGTCAAATATTTTGTACCCCAGCCCAATATTATTGACCATGAGTAAGACGGCCTCTGCGTGTTTCGTTATTTTCTGGCATATTATTTCATATTCCTCAAGTTTCTAGTCTCATATTTCGCCTACTGCTGATAAGCCACTACGTTCAAATCGCATCGGCATCGATTACCCTTTGGGTTTTCATTTGTTTTCAACACTTTTCTTTGCATTATTCGCTTCATACGAATTTGCATAATTTTCTTACATTTTTGCACACATTTGTTAGTCACACATTTGTTTTGTTTATGTTTTCTTGTTTGTTTTTTTTTTATTTTTATTTTTATTTTTATTTGTAAATAATTTATTTTGTTTGATTTGAAAATCACTTGGAGATTTTTGCGCGCTTTTGCCGACGCGTTTTTTGCAGCTTGGCTTTGCGTTGTCGTTGCTGCTGTTTATTGATATTGTGGGGAATCGTTGTTGTCGTTGTCGAGTAGTTGCTGTTATTGCTGTTGCAAACGCGACGCTAACGTATACGTAATACGTAGAGCGTGTGAGCACACGAAAAACGAAACGAAACGAATCGGAGCGAACGGGCGAACGAGGCACGAGCAAACACTTCAACGGCCGCAGACCAACTGAACCCACGAGCGCAAAACAGGAAAGCCAGCGGCAGAGACACGCGCTGCGTTTGTGTGCGCTGGTGTTGGTGTGTGTGCGTTTGCGTGCGCGTGGATGTGTTTGTGTGTGCGCTCGTGTGTATGCGTGTGTGTGTGTGTGTGTGTGAACGAAACTCGTCTGACGAGGGCCGGGCTTTGGCATTTGGCACATACAAGATGGTCGCGGCTGCAAGCGGCCAGGCCGTGCGTCAAAGCGGGATGGCAATACTATCAATGGCAATATGCTTGTCACTGTTTGGCCTGCATGCGGGGCGTGTTTTTTGTTTGTTATGCACGCGGGCAGGTAAACCGGTTTGTGTTTCGTTTCGCTTGGCTGTTGTTGTTGTGTGTGTGTGGTTGTTGTTGCAATTGCATGTTTGTTTGCTTGTAGGGTTTGTCGTCGTCGTCGTCGTCGTCGACGTTGTCGTTGTCGTTGTCGTTGTTATTGTTGTCGCTGCTGCTGCTGCTGCGACTCGTCATGCTCGAGTGCATCGTTCAATAATCTCTCTGTGGCACGCCTCTCTGCGCTCTGCGCTCTGCACTTGGCACGGTGCTTCAACGTCGACTCGCTCATGCGCCAGGTGAGGCTTCGGCTCTAGCTCTTGCTCCGGCTCCGGCTCCGGCTTTGGCTTTGGCTTTGCCTGTCTGTCGATTCGCTCTTTCTCTCTCTCTCKGGTCTCGGGCACTGCCTCTCACTCTGTTTGTGGCAGAGCGTTTCGGCCACTGCTTTCTGCTTTCTGCCTTTGCCTTTTACCATTGCCATTGCCTGGCTGTCAAACAGTGACAACAATCATCGATCGTTCCGTTTGTGATTATGTGGTTTATTTATGGGCTTTAACATGTGTGCAGATTTGTCTGCCGATTTTGAGTTATGCATACGAGTCGCACAGTCTCAGTCTGAGTGTGTAGGTGTTTCCCCTCTTCATCTCTCTCTCTCTCATTCACTCTCCCTCTTTCTATATCTGCATCTGTCTCCATTTCTCTTTCATTCTGTTTGGGTGTTGATGTTTTTGTCGCACATAAAACTAAATTTGCATAAATTAGCAGCTGGAAATTAAGCTAAATACACAATTATGCCCATGTTTATTCATATAACTGTACAGATAGACACACTTACACACACACACTCACACATTTGAGTATGTTAAATAGCTAATAAGCATAAGATACTATAAGACATTTGGCCTCCAACGCTACAGCCTCAGTGTCTTATTTTGTTTTGTGTTTTTTTTTTTTTTTTTCTCAGGCAACAGCATCTTTGGCAACTATCAAGATAGAAATTATTAATATCGAGCTCATATTTTTTGTGGTTGAACAACTTGGCAAGTTGGCTGCCGTCTTCAACTTTGGAGTTTGTGTTGCCTCAGTACAGCTGCTGCGCATAAACAGCAAACACACACACACACACAAGCATACACAGCCAGACAAAGGTAGAAATATGTGTGTGCTTGTATATAGGAAGCGCTGCTACGTGAGCTGCTTTTTTGAAGGGGAGACTCAGGGTGGGGGCTCCAACCCGCATTGATTTTCGCTTTAAAAAGTTTTGAATTTTTTTTCAGCGCTCGAAACTTTTTGGGCAAAAGGGTTAAATGCTGCGATTGTTGTTGCTTGCACCTGAAATCGAGCGCAAAAGTAGCGCAAAGACTTTTTGCAAGTGCCTGGGCTTGCTGCCTGCTGTTTGCCTGCCAGGATGCTGTGCCGCAGCTGGACCAACTTTCCCAGGCTCGAGTCCCGCCAAGAAACATATTTTGAAACATTGCATACTCATTTCATAAGTTCATGCAACTGAGATAGAAATCAGAGTCGTTCGCCTTTTCTTTATGCCTGCGAGCAGTCAAATTTGTGTCAAGCGATTGCAATTTCGAGACTTAAACTCGATCTGAGATATGTGGAGGTACGAGCACAGGCAGCCAAGGGGAGCAGCCAAGCCAAACTAGGTTGGTTGCCAATAGGCGCCTTCAAAACGGAACCAATATGCGAATCAGAGATTAATTGCTCCAACGCTATCTGCCACACACACACACAGGCCTCTCAGACAACAGCAATTAGCTAAGAACTGTGGATAATCAATATGAATATGGAACTCGATAAGATTAGATTCGTAATTAGAGTTGAGTCTATGGCCACAGGAAAATCTTATCTATTTTAAGGCCGATATCAATAATAACTAAATAGTTTGAGTGTCTGACTGGAAGATTGTCAAATGAAATGATTAGGAAATACCAAAGAATCAAAAACAGATAACTGCAAATCTTGACTGATAATCGAAATCAGAATAGTGAATTCATTTGTCAGAAAGTTCGGTGGGTTCTTATGATTAACAGTGGAAGAACACAGAATACTTTCAGAAGTGGTTGCTTATAAAGCACTCAAGAACAATATAAGATATGCCGCTGTACTTTGCTATGGGAAGTCGAATGTGGAATAACTATTGTTCTAGTTGGACTTTCTTAATCAAGTTTATCAAAGGAAGCTACATAATAAATTTGAAATATCTTCTCTTAAGGCTATTAATACCAAATCGATATGAGATGATCGATTATTATCGATAATATTAAAATTGTATGAGTTGTTGAAGATCTTAATGATAATCTTGTAATAAGAGAAGTAAATAGGAATATTCATTTCAAGTCTGTAGCCTTTACGAGCAGACAGACGGACAAACGGAAGGTTGAAAGGACTAAAGGAGAGAAGAGCGGACTGGCTGACATGTGGACAGAGAAACGGACAGAAAGAATGGCTTAAGGGAAGACGAAAGAAAACCCAGACTCGCATCCGGATCCGACTTTATAAATAGCTCGTTGTCTGGATTAAAGATATACTTCCAATATATAATATAGAGTAATAGAGAGTGCCAGGCCTTTTTTTTATCCATATTCAATGGGCTCAACAGCTTTCACAGGTATTTCCCTACATTTATACATATGTATTTTGTATAATTATATACTTATTGAAAAATTAAAATTTAATTTAAAAATATAATAGAAATGTTTATTTTTATAATTTAGATATATTATTAATTGTTATATTCCCAATTAATTACATTTAATCACAGCTCAATTTCAGCTCAGCTCGATCAAAATTAATTCAATAAAAATAAACTGGAAATCTTGGAAAAGAGACAAAAACACAAACAACAATCATATTCCAGCTCGTTTCAAGTTAATTGAACTTAATTGTTCTTTATTGTTTTGAAAACTTGTTTGCATTTAACAGATTGCAGATAGACTAAGGAGTCAAACTAACTGGATTTCTGTCAATCTCAGCGTGTACTTAGGCTAACGGTTATTTAGCATGTTTTATTCAGTTCTGTATTTTTTTTGTGGGTCTTTTCTTTCTAATTTATTTTTTCGTGTGTAATTTTCTCCGACTTTCTTTTGATTTGTGCGCACTCTACGCAGAAATCATGAAGCATATAAATACCGCTCGACCTGTAAGGCTCTGGCACCCATCTACATACACGCACACACACGCACACTCGCACATTTGTAAGAAAAGTACCTCTAATGCATATTTTTCCAGCACGTGCGCAGCTTTTCCGTTGTCCAAAAGTCGCCAGAGCGAGTCAAAGCAGAGACAAGGCCAGAGACAGACATGGCCACAGACCCCCATCCCACATCCCACACCCCGCACCCCTTCCCCCACAGAGCGTAAGCCATGTGCAGCGCAGCGTATGGCGTTACCCAGCCCCAGCTCTTTAAACCAACAACAACACTCGCTGTCCCCCGCCTTCCCCCTCTCCGCCCTCACCCGCTCTTTCATTGAATTGAAGCCGACGCACGTTGCGTGTAATTTTGATTTTAATCGCATAAAAATGTTTTGTTTATATGTATAATTTAGTTTTAACAATTTATGTTAACCTTTTGTTACCATTTTTAATTTGCCGACTCTTGTTGTTGCTGCTGCTGTTGTTGTTGTTGTTGTAGCTCATAAGCAGCAACAATTAAATGCGCCATAAAATTGGTTTAAATACGCGCTCGCCATTTAAATGTATCTATGCGCGTATGTGTGCATCTATATATGTATTTGTAAGTATGTCTGTATAGATAGTTATATTATAAATGTACACTGCGCGACATATAGACAGCTATTATTATTGTTATAATCATTGCCATGCGATAGAAATCAGCGACATTTTTACAGCATTTAAACAAAGCATAAATTCTGATTTAGCTCCAAAACTGTCGCAGCATCTGCCCCAGTCTCCGCGTTTGTTTGCATTCATATGCTGACCGAATCAAAATCATAAAAACTACAAATAATATCAACGAATAGAATGCTATTTAAATTGCCACTCGTAATTGCAAATCTCTCTGTCTGTCGCGCCGCCCCCCAGTCTCACCCCTTTCTGCCCCAAACAACGCTCCACATATTATTGAGGCCATAAATATGCACGCCACGTTCGCGCTGCGACTGGACAAACTTTTTTGCTGTTCGAATCTCTGTGTTTTTCTTTCGTTGATACATTAAGATAAATAATGCTGAGTTCTAAAGAGCTTACATATGATACTCTGGAATGCGCTTGATAACATACTTTTCCCTGGAATAGATAGCAAATGCTTAAGTTGATTATGAACAGCAGAGAACTAAAACTGGTTTAGCGAAAGAGCGATTAGCGATTAAAATATAAAAGCTAAATAAAAAAGCTAAATTGCTGATT